TGGGGCACAGTACCCCACCAGACACCCTAGGCTAGCAAATAAAAAGCCCAGTGCCAGGAATGGGCCCTCTCTTTTGGAGTTGTTGACGGGGATGTCCCACAGACCCTCAAACAATATTAGTTATTGCCATTGATAGAATGTGTGAATTGTAGAAGAGCCACAAGCCTCATTGGGAAAGCCATAAATCCCTTGAAGTGGCCAACTGGCCCTACATTGGTAGGCTGGCCCTGCACAAGCCTTGTCAACTGGCCACTCCTGGACTGAGGGAGACTGTTTATGGAGCCAGTCTGTCTACTTTAGTGCCCTAAGATAGCACACCTGCCTGAGAAAATAATCTTGAGGGAGAGACCCTCAAGGACACCAGACCCTGGCTGGAGTTAACTCTTGCAGCTGTGTACAGCAGAGTTCCTGTAACAGTGGAAACTGCCCCTCCCTTCGACGCAGGCGCCTTCTTTGTGGGGAAAGGCTTTTGTCCCGTGCTGTGTCCTCTGAATAAAGAGGCCACATTCCCTGCCTGTTGCAGGTCTGGCTCTGACTCTTATTTCTAAACTCTCTTCCTTTTCTGTTCTCCTAAATCTAACATCCACTGCTCTTGGTTACCCTCCGGAATTTGACAGTAAGACCCTACTGCTAAAAACACCACGTACCTGAGTCCTAGAACTGGAGAAATCAAGTTGCTGCTCACCTAAACCGTTATCCCTACTGGCTAGCTTGCATAGTACTGGAAGGTGCTGCGCACGCTACCAGAGGAGAAGAGTCACCATCAACCTCACCTGTGAACCCTGAGCGCTACAATAATGACTGGCCTGACATATACCCACTGGTGGTGTCACAAATGTGGGAGTAACCAGACTTTCTGATTGAATTTGAGGTCAGCGTCACAAGATGGAGCCCGTATTTGATACTGCTTTTGCTGTCGAGAACCTGTGGCTAGGCAGGTCATAGGTTGTAGGGAGAACCTGCTAATAGAACTACTGTTATTGTTGTTGTTGTTGTTGTTGTTGTTATCATGCTAAATGGTCATAGCATTAAATTGACTCCTAAAGAATTGTTACACCCCAAGTAGTACATCTCTCAACCCTCATCAGAAAAGATGAGTAGATGGTGATTATCAGAGAAATCCACAACTGGTCAACACACAGAAAATAAGAGACTGTGGCGTGCTCAGCCCTAAATGGGACATCTATACCACACTCCTCCCTGAAAGGCTCCGGGATCAGATAGATCCAGATAGACTGTAAGAGCCAGAGATGATGGATGATTGCCAGGAAACTGTTTTCTGGACATAACAAAGCAGTTGCACATACAAAGTCACAGTGGTTCTGACAGCAAGCAAAAGACCCAAACAAGTTCAAGCCAGATAAAACCATAGCAGGGATGGGGAGGTGGGCAGGAAGCCCCAGCACAGGTGGAGGAGCTTTGGCAATTCATAGTTGATGAGAGGGAGTCTGTTTTCCTTAAGGGTGTGATCCCAGGTGGGTTGGCCACACTCCTGGGAGTGGATCCACAACAAAAAGAGGTGGGTGGGTAGGGTGGGGGGGGCAAACAAGTTCAAGCCAGTACATTGTATGAAACTCAAATAATTCATAAAACATTATTTAAAAACAGGAAGAAGACACACTGGTAACTTAAGCAAAAGAATCGAGAGCAGAGAGCGAGTTTGGGCTCACCAGCTAGGTGACATCAGTCTTCTAAGAGATGTCCTCCTAACTTCCCCCTTCAGCATACCTGGGTCATCTTCTCAGAACTCCCCACAGAACTTCGTGTCACCTGAAATCGTTCTACCTCATCTGCTCTTACATTTTGCCTCTTATCAGCAGAGTGGTGTTGGCAAGTTATTTCTTTTCTTCTGTGTGTGTATGTGTGTGTGTGCATGTACATGCACATGCCAATGCACAGGTGTGTGCAGGTATGCATGTATATATGTGCATCCCATACAGCGATTCCCTCCAAGATAACTCATTCCATCTGGAGGGAAATGCCTTAAGACACAAAATGTTCTAAAGGGAGGTAGACACTCTCAGAGGAGGTGACACATTCCAACCTACAGGGAAGCTCATTAAGCTCAGGAAGGAAAAGAGTTTAACAGCAGCAGGAAGTCCCTGAAACTGACCAGGTTGAGTAGACCCTTCCCTCCCCAAGCATATATACGTCCTGAAGGCTGCTGAGAGGTGCTCTGAGACCACAGAGCTGCCTGGAAGAGACAGATGTCAGCCCAGCCACCTGGTAGATGCTGGGACCAATTGAGCTACCTGGAAAGGGCTCCCTCCAGCCTGCGCTGCCTGCAGGATGTGCCGAGCGAGCCAGGTTTCCTGCTGTCATGAGAGGCCACCCATGCTTGGGTGGGCTTTGGTGATGCGGCTGTATGTGAGTCATTTCTGCTCCTGTTACTCCTCACCCATACTTCTATAAACAACCCCAATAAAATCCATTGGGTCACCGAGTTGGACTTTGGTGGTATCCTTCCTTTGGTCTGCCACTGGTTCCCTATCTAGGGTGAGTAAGCATTTGTTCACATCTCCCCAGGAATAGTGTCACAACATCCATGTGGAGGCCAGTGGATGACCTCAGATGTCCTTCCTCAGGAGCTGTTCACCTCATCTTCATTTTGGGGACAGGGTCTCTCACTGGCCTAGAAGCACTGGCTGGGATCATCTTGTCTTTGCCCCCCAGCACTGAATGACAAGTGTCCATCACTATGCCTGGGTTCTGGGCCTCGAACTCAAGTCCTCATGCTTGTACACTAAACACCTTCTTGACTGAGCTACTGCCCAAGCCCCAGCAAGCAATTTCTTTTGCTTCCCATTTCTGATCCATAAAATCAGGCTGATAACATCCCCAACCCATGGAGATTCTGTAAAGACAAATATTGTGCGATGGTAAAGCAGGTGATAGTTACTATTCTCGGGCTTCTCTCCTGCCTGCCCCACTGAGCAGAACATGAGATCTGTGAGCACAGAGTCCTCGTCTGCTTATCCCTTGCCCATTTTCCCTAGAGCAGAAATGATTCATAGAACATACATGTCAAAGAAGCAACTGCCAAGAAAGATCTATCCTGACAGCTGGGTTTCCCTAAGTCTGGGATGTCTACCAATGGTTTTGTAAGACACAAGTTTGCTGTATGCATTCTAGAACAGTGGCCTCTTAACGGGACCCCTCCAGGCTGTCCCTTCTCCCTGCAACCCCTCTCCAGCCCGCACCTCTGTCATCCCTCCCCTCATTCGACCTCAACTCACCCCAGAAGAGGAGCAGCCTGAAGCCCCACATCGTGCAATGGCTGTCATTCAACGGGGACAGCCTTCCTTTTAAAAGTTCTCTTAGTAAAGAGAGGGAAAAGGCGGGGCCAGGGTTGCTCAACGCTGTTAGACAAAGCATCGCAGCTTTTTGCTGAGTTGCCATCGGCAGAGGTGGCCAGCCTGGCAATCCCCAAATTTTTCCCTTAAATCTGGCAGTGCATACATTTTTCCCTCTCCTCCTCCCCTACCCTCCTAGCTACTTACCTCCCTCCTCCTCCTCCTTCTTGTCCTCCTCCTCCTCTTCGTCATCCTCCTCCTCCTCCTTCACCTCCTTCTCCTCTTCCTCCCCTCCCCTCCTCCTGCTCTTTCCTTCCCTCCTCTCCACCTCTTCTTCCTCCTCCACCTACTCTTCCTCCTTTATCCTCCTCCTCCTCTTCCTCCTCCTCCTCCCCTCCCCCTCCTCCTCCTCTTTACTTTGCTGTCCACCTCTCTCTCTGTTTCTCTCTCTCCATCTCTGCCTCCCCACCTACCCCTCCTTTCCTTCCTTCCCTTTCCCTGTCTTCCTTTCACTGTGACCATTTATCCTCCACCGCTCATCACCTTCTAATTGCTCCCAATAGGTAGGTTTCCATTTCTTGCTCACAGAAAAGCAAATCTCAACCTTAAAGTTCTCCTCTAATCCGTTTCCACAAAGCAACCCTCACAGCCATGGTGCACCAGGAACTGTGATGGACGGGCACGTTGCCAAGAAAAGTTAATTTTGTTACAGTGTACCTGTCACAGGGATTCCCCTCCCCACCCACACCCACACACAAAAAGGAAACTGTGGTTTGGCCAAGGTTACCCGGACTCTAGATTTGCACCCAAGAGCCCCCTGACTCCAAAGAGCTTAATCATTTCATTTTTCTTCATTCCACCCCACACAGGCTCTGATTAAAACAATATAGCAATCATCCCAGTTCATTCCCAGCCCTCAAAACAACACACAGGCAAGCACACCATCTCAGAAATGCACGTGTCCAGCAGTATGTTAGCTAAGGTCCCTGGGATGCAGACCCTGAGACAAAGATCCAACAGAAAGTAGTTTATCAGAAAAATGTCCCCAAGAAGCACTAGCTGAGAAGCAGGGAAGTGAGAACAGGAAGGGGAAGGAGTCGTTAGGAAGTGTCATCAAAGAAGAGGTGTGTCTAGGACGTGGGCAGCACACTCCCAGGGGCTATTCTGAGGGGTGTGGGGGGCCTTTGATGTTGACAGGCCCACTGCCATTGGTCACCAACTCTCAGGGGTTTGCTCCTAGGGGTTTCCAAATTCATGACACTCTGAGCCCGCCCCTCCCCAAGAAGATAACTGACCCCAGTTGAGACAGTTCTTCTGGACAGTAAAACAGCACCTGGCAGTGGTGGGGCGGAGTGCACTGAACGGTTCAGCATCATGTGCGTGATCAAACAAGGCAGCCTCAGAAACAACCTACCAAAGTGCAAAGACCAAGTCAAGTTCCTGGGTTCACAGTCGCGCTTGTTGCGTTTTCTTGTTGTTTGGTTTGGGGGCTGGTTGGTTAGTTTGGATTTTTTTAATTTTTCAATATTCTATTATTTTATTTATATGTATAAGTGTATTGCCTTCATGTAAGTAAGTGCACCCATGCCATGCCTGTGGAGGTCAGAAGAAGGCATTGGATACCCAGAACTGGAGCTGTGGTTGTTAGTCGCCATGTGGTTGTGGGGAATAGAACCCAGGTCCTCTGCAGGAGCAGTCAGTGCTCTTAACTGCTGAACCAGCTCTCCAACCCCCAGGACTTTGAATGTTTTGCATATTTCCTTTTGTTCTGTGAAGTGTAAAATTTCTTTTTCTCTGAGTCAAAATCTTGATATTCAGAGAAGCTGGTTTTGCAGAGGACAGTGGAAACTTCAGAGACTCCGAATTGATGACAGTGCTGAGAATAAGTGACTCCCGATCATCCAGCCCTAAGTGGGAGTCCATAGCCCACCTTCCAGGGTGCAGGGAGCTTCAGGAGGAAGGACCAGGAAGAAGCCGAGAGCTGGAGGGTGGAGAGGGGTGCTGTGGAGCACCATTTGTCCATTTTTATTTATTTTATGTGTATGAGTGTGTTGTCTGCATGTATGTCATGCAAAGCCTGCAGAGGCCAAAAGAGGGAGTCAGATCCCCTGGAAGTGGATTATGGATGGTTGTTAGCCACCATGTGAGTGCTGGGAAACCAACCTGGGTCCTCTGCAAGAACAGTCAGTGCTCTTAACCGCTGAGCAGGCTGTGTAGCCCCAAACACTCTACTCTTGGCATGGCTGTGGCATTCATGAACTCACAGAAGCAGTGGTTACCTAGGTAAGGCCTGTACGAGACCGATCTCATCAACATCCTGTCTTGGAGGTTGCTCCCAAAGTCCTATGCTTCCCTGAAAATTTAGAGGCAGCTAATGGTTGCTAGGGAGAGGGGCTCACTGAGCCGTGCCCCTCCCTGAGGGTCTATTTGCAGTTAATGATTTATGGGAAAGAAACATTTTCTTCAGTGGTGTAGCCACTGATAGGGTGCCCACGCTCCTGTAAACTCCTCACCCGTGTTCATGCAAGTGACCCAATTAAACTCAGTGGGTAACACAGAAAGGTATGAAAGAGACTAGTTGGGAAAAGGGAGGGACCACCAGGACTGGGAAGAGGACAAGAGGGAAGTGAACATGATCAAAATACATTGTAAACATGTCATAAGGTCATAGTGGAACCCATTAGTGCCAGGCTTAGGACAGAAAAAGAATAAAGTCTAAGTAAAAGACCAGAGCCAGACCTTGCAGCAGACTGAACGGATTTATTCAGCAAAGGTCACAACAGCTTCTCCTAGGAAAAGCAAGCTGTGCAAAGGTGGGGGGGGGCAGTTCTAGATTGCTGGAAGTAAAGAAGGCACATAGCCGTGAAGCCTGAGTTAGGGTGTCTTTGGGCCCTTTTCCTAGAGCTAGCTGATAATGGGGCACAAGGACAGCAGAGAGACATCCTGGCAAGAGTGGGTTGTCTGGCTTCCTGCAGCTGTGACATTCTGTCAGGCCTGAGATAGGGATGTGACTACTAACAGTGGGGCTGGGGCGAGACATCTACCTCAGGGAATTTCTGGCATCTAAGAGAGGGAGAAATCGTTTACTTTAAGGATGTGGCCCCTGATGGGTCGACCACGCTCCGGTAGACGGCCCCCACACAGGAGTATATGGGCAGCACAATTGGACTGGGTGGGTTATTAAAAAAAAGAAGACTGAAGTTAAAAGGGGAGTTGAGAGGTGGGAGGGGTGAAGGGAGGGGCAGGAAGTGAATATGATCAAAATGCATTGTAAGAAAATTTTGAAGAATTTTAAAAACATATTGGGGGAGGTTTTGAGACAAGGTCTCCCTGTAGCCCCAGCTGGCCTGGAACTCCCTATGTAGCCCCCTGCCTCTCCTCCCAAGGGCTGCAGCTAAAGGTGTGCACCACCACACCTGGCAATAAAAACGTTTTTAAGGATCGATTTTGATTTTTTATTCATGTGTATATATGGATGTCGTGTGGGTGTGGCTGCCTACAGAGGCCAGAAGAGAGAGTCAGGTCCCCTGGAGCTGGAGCCACAGGAGATTGTCAGCCTAACGTGACTCCTGGGAATTGAAGTCGGATCCTCTGGAAGAGCAGCCAGTCCTCTTAAGCACTGAGCCATCTAGAAACATTATAATCTTTTTAATCTCTCACGAGTATATAGATTATTCCCCTGGGAGGAGGATCAAGGAAGCTGCAGTATGATTTTTAAGAGATTTATTTCATATATTTGTTTGTTGTGTATGGGCAGAAGGAGTGACCATGCCACAACACGAACATGGAGGTCAGAGGACAATTTGCAGGACTCAGTTCTTTCTCTCCACCATGTGGGTCCTTGGACCAAACTCAGGTCACCAGGCTTGGCAGCAAGCACCTTTACTTGCTGAGCCATCCCACCAGCCCATAAATGTGTTTTCCAGAAGCACTGCAGTATGGACAGAACTTCAGACCTCTGGAGAGTCAAATCGCCGTTCTCCTATGGAAAATGGGTAGAAGGTAATAGTAAGAATGACTTAACAGTAGGATGAGAGAATAAGAGGTGGTTCTCGGGCAGAGCACAAGGGCCTGGCTCTGATTCTCCAGCACGGAAATA